CCTGGACATCTGAGGCAGAGCTACCCTCTAGTTAGGCATAGATACCATGCAGTGGTGGCACATACCTTTAATCACAGCACTTGGGAAGAGGAAGCAGGAGATCAGGAGTACAAGGCCACTCTGGGCTACACAGGATTCAACCAATCTAAAAAAGAAATAGAAACAGGTGGTGGTGGTGCATGCCTTTAATCTCAGCACTAAGGAGGTAGAGAAATGAATGTAAGGCAGGTGGAGACAGGATATCAGTCGTATTTAGTCTGAGGATTCATAGAGTAAGAAGTCTATTGGCTGTTTGTCTGCTTCTCTGATCTTTCACCCTAATATCTGACTCTGAGATTTTATTTAATAAGACTAATTAGGATCACACTTCATATCCCATCCAGTGCCAGGATACCACTGAATGTTCTGCATGAGAGACTGTACCAGATAAAGCCATTCTATCCTGAATGATAGCATGTTACAAGGTCAGCAGCACCCCTGATGTGAACTGGGACTAAGTCCCCATGAATATATGACTTCCCTCGGGTCTGTTATGTCACCCTGCAGGCACTTCTGCTGCTTTGACATTAGGTGGTGACATAAGCACAGGTTTGCTTTAATTTTCTTTTAGCGCTAAAACTATGCAAAAGAGGAGCTTAGCATGAAAACTGTGCCAAGTCTGTGAATAGGAGGAAGGCAACTCTTCCATTACTCTGTAAGTGACTTCTCTGAAGCTCATTTAGATGGACTGGTTACCTCATTTGTTGGTGTGTTTGTATCATCCCAACTTGGAGGCCAATGTTTATTATTGCATCATCACGGGAAACCTAGGGAACAAGTTTTCACACATCTCAGTGGCATTTTCCAAGAACCCTTTACACTCATGATCTGTAATGGGGAGACTATCCACTCTTATCACTTATCAGTATTACATTTCTAAACTACTGCTTGTATCACTCAAGTAAAGGGCAAACTCAGGTGCCATTGTCTGATTTTGCCCTTCACACAAAGAAACTTATCTTAATGATATTAGAATCCACTTTATGCATAAAGGGCTCACACTACTACTTAATTGGTCAAATGACAAAATATAATTAAGTTCCTGGTTTATTCTTGGTAAATTATTCATGCAGCATACAAATAGACATTGATTGAACAGTTAGAATTTATATAGACCCACCTTCCTAATACTTGAAGACTCAGCAGTTATTAAGATTAAAATAATTCTCTCTTACCAAAATGTATGGAATGGAAGTAGAAATAGAAAACAATTTATTATATTTTTAAATAGACATATATTATAAGTTTAACATGTCTTTGAGAGAAAATATATTCCGTGAATATAGGAGAGCAGGTACCCTATGAACATGAAAATGGTCCAACTCTCCTCACTTAAAGTAAAGGGCAAAATAGTCAGAGGACAGTAGAGTTGTGCTACTCAACCATCACTGGCATCTAAAAGCTGCAGAGAGAAAGCAGATACACTTTAAAATATGTGATGGCAGGAGAATCATGAACTTTCAGAAATGAACCCCCCCCCAAAAAAAAACCCCAACAACTAGAAAACAAAACAAAAAAACATTTTTAAGATGGAATGTAGGAAGGGTGACTTCTCACTATGCTCTGAATATATCATGGCAGCAGATGGTGTAGTCTAAAGAAATATACTGGCCTACAGCAAAGTCTGTGGAAACATTTTCTTGCTTAGTGATTGATGTGGGAGAATCCAGACTATTGTGGGTGGTGCCACCTCTGGCTGCCAGTCTTGGGTTATTCAAGTAAGCAGACTGAACAATCCATGGAGAGCAAGCTGGTAAGCAGCATTCATTCATGGCCTCTCATTCAGTTCATGCTTCCAAGTCCCTGCCCTGCTTGAGTTCCTGCCTTGACTTCTGTCAATGAGGAACTGACATGTAAACCAAATAGAGACATGACTCTCCAAAAAAGTTTAGATTTGTGAATCTTTTACTATTTTTATGACAATAACTTTTGAGACAAATAATAAACTGATTGATCTTTTCTTTTTAACAGCAAAAATACATCCTGCCAGTAAAACAACTTTTGAGAAAAACATCTTATTTTCTTACACTTTATTAATTTATAAGAAGTTTCTTAGACACAAATTTATGTGTGTACTAAGAAATAATCTGTTTAAAACCTATAATAATGTAAAATGTTTAGTTATGTATTGGGGTATTGGGGAGCATGCTGTTTTTACTTACATTCATTGTGATCATTCACTTGAAAAATATAATGTAACCTCATTGTAAGTTTTTTGTTGCCTGAATGATTTTGCTGGGATATATAAGCTTTAGGGGGTGAGAGGAAGGAATAAGGGAGGAGTAAGAAGGAAGACATAAGGAAAGAGATAGAGGGGAAACAACAGGAAAGAGGTAAGGGAAAAATAGGAGAGATCTTGACATGTAGAAGATGTGTGTGGGTGTGTGCTTTTCTCTCATTTTCTGGCCTCAGAGAATTAAGTTTTACTCCCTCAGATAAAAAAAAATCAGTTGTGTGATCAATCCTGACTCCCACCTCCTCTTCAGTCCTGAGGTGATGAAAGATGGCCCACAACAATACTTTTCTATCTGTTTTATCAAATTCTGGAGTGTTAATCATTTTTTTATCTTATCATATCATATCATATCATATCATATCATATCATATCATATTATATTATAATAGAAAGAAGTCTCTTTCTTTTCTAATAACAGACTGAAAGGGGGTGGATCCAGATGGGAGGTCAGGTGGGAAAGGGCGGTGGTGTGGAGTAGAGAAATGGGAACCATATGGGGATATTTTATGTTTGGGAAAATCTATTTTCAATAAAAGAAAAAGAAGGAAACAGAATGAACTGAGACATTGTCTGTGATGCTTTAATTCATCCATGCATGAGTGTATTTTGATGCTTTTTGATGTTAGTTTAAAACCTAATATTCTATTTAAGTTGTTTCATATTACAATCTTGTGTACTGATAGTTAATGGTAACTGTGGTGATTACACATATCTGTTCCTTGTATTGAATGCCTGCATAATGCTATTCAACAGATATTCTATTATAATGAATGACTCATTGTCCTAAATATGCTCATCAAGTATGATTTACTGATCTGATTTATTTTTCTTTTTTGGATAGTAAAATAATCTTAATGTATTCAATCCTATTCTTTTTCAACCTCTCACACCAACCACAGACAAACATTACTTCTCAAAGCATCTCCCCCTTTTAATTTATTAATACATGTTTTGTAATATGTCCCCTACAAAAGACCTGCTCTATCCTGGATCCCTTTCTAGCTCCTTACATATAGGTATAGTCAAAATTAAACAGAAAAATGAAAAAAATTGATGATATGATTTAGAAATGAGTGAGTAATATGCCACTTATCATTCTGGGACTGGACTGATTCAGTCAATATAATTTTTCCAGTTTTATCAATTTTCCCTAAACTTTCAAAATTTCATATTTCTTTATATCTGGACAAAATTCCATTGCACAAATGTACAACATTTTTTATCCATTTATCTTGTTGTGAACATCTACATTCATTTCATTTCCTAACTATTGTGAATACACCAGCTGTGGGGATCTGAATGTGTCCTGCTCACACATTTCCACCTATTCTGGGGTTCTTAGGAGGAGGAGAGAGGGATTATAAAATATTAGATGGAGAGACCTTGTCAAGTAGAGGAAAGATGGAAACAAAGGATAGCTTCAGGAGGGACTGGATCAATGCCCAACTACCTCGAGGTTTATTCAAAAGGCTTTTTATAAAATTCCAATGGGAGGAAGAAAAGACCTGCATTTTCAAGATCAAAGCACAACACACAGACAAGTGTAGACCCTTCCACACACCTGGTAAGCATTCCCATGTTGAAATCATCCCATAATGCAGCCCTGCTGGGTAAAGCAAGGTGAGAGTCTCTGACCCAGAAAATTTGGGCCTCCATAACCAGCAAAATGTGTGAATGTGCATTTATATCTGTGATAGGCTATACAGTCCTTTAGGCACACCCACAGGAAAGGCATAGCTAGGTCATGTGGTATTTGTAGCTGTCTGAGGAAATTGCACATTGGTTTCTATATTTACTGCACTCTCACAACACTGAATCAGGGCTCCCATTTCCTCCTACTTTCTTCCTGTAGAACCTTGATAGTCTGTTTTGTGGATATTGAGGACTTTCAAAAAGCTGAGACATGCTTTGTACATAAAAAAAATATGCTATTGCTTGATTCCATAGCCCAGGTGAAAGGAACATTTCTTTCTTCAAATGAACCTGATGAAATTTTCTCTCCTGATTTAAACTGCATCAGAATTTTTGCATTTTATGTAGCATGAAAAGTCATGTACTAGGTAGGCTATTTGTTTGAACATTTCATAAATGTTCCCCCATAATGCTGCATCACTCTTGGTGGTAAAACACACAAGAAACAATATTCAGTGTATATCTGGACAGTGCTAAACAAATATGTTGATATCCTGATCTTTGAAATTCTTCTCAACTGTGGCAAATTGTGAACTTTAATAATGTTTTCATTCTACCCTCTGGAGAAATATGTCTTCCTATGACATCCAGACTGTCTATATTTTTGTCCATGATATCTCATTAATGTAATTTCTCTTTAGTATTGTATGTTGTGATGCTTCATGGACTGTTTAGACAGTGAAATGGAATCAGCCCATATTGGAAGAAACATCAAGGAAAAAAAAGAAATTAAGAGATGCTCTTAATTTCAAACTACTGAGTGTATCTCTGACAGTTTCTTAGACTGTGCTAATTTTGCATCTATGTATGTGAGATACATGCACAAGTCTCTCTCAAATCTCAACACATCATCAGGTAACCAGAAGAGGGCGATGGACTCCCCAAAAGCACAAGAGCTTGCTTTCCTTAGCAGTTCTTTATTGGTACATATATGAAGTCAGTATCATTTGCATAAGTGCTTCTTCTTTCTATGTTCTTGCCTCTTAGAATATTATAAACGGTCTTTCTTGGACTGTGTCATGACACACAGAGACACAGGGAAAGCTAGAAGATGGTGTCCACATCTCAACTCCTTGGACTTCTGTTCTTCTGGATTTCAGGTGTGAGATTTTAGATATGGCAAAAAGTGGAGATGTCATTTACATACAGAATTTTCTTACATCATTAGCAAGCACAGCCTCATATGGAATTTGACTTCCTGTTTAAAGAAATTGATATAAAATAATCCTTTTAAAAGTAGTTTAGAAATGACTTTCATATGCAATGCTGTGATCTACTAATATTTCTCCTATGTTTTCAGCCTCCAGAGGTGACATTGTGCTGACTCAGTCTCCAGCCACCCTGTCAGTGACTCCAGGGGAAAGAGTCACCATGACCTGCAAGGCCAGCCAGGGTATTGGCACAAACTTACACTGGTATCAGCAAAAACCAAATGAGACTCCAAGGCTTCTCATCAAGTATGCTTCCCAGTCAGTCTCTGGGATCCCCTCCAGGTTCAGTGGCAGTGGGTCAGGGACAGATTTCACCCTCAACATCAACACTGTGGAGCCTGAAGATGTTGCAACTTATTACTGTCAACAGAGTAGCAGCTTACCTCCCACAGTGATACAGACCATAGCAAAAACTACCAGGAAAGCAGAAGTGTGAATCTGAGCTGCTTCAGCTGCTTCTGGTGGTGCCTGAACCTTCTACAAAGTGTTTTACGGATGCAGACATGTAGCATGAATCTTGAAGAGTCTTATTAATAAAACTAAACCTAAGGCCAGTTATTGAGGTGAATGCTGAAATAACAGAGAGACAGAACAAGCCAAAGCTACCTCATTTTGCCAGTTCCTCGGCTGATCCTGTTTCCTCATACTTGAAGCCTCTGAGTCCTCATCCAGAATGAATCTTAGTTGAACTGCTGATAGAAGCCTAAAAGCTTAACCAGCCAAATGCTTCTAGTTTCTGGTCCTCATGCCTTATATATCTTTCTGCTTTCTACCATCACTCTCTGGAATTAAAGGCTCACTTTCTGGGATTAAAGGCATGAGTCACCATGCTTGGCTGTGTACTTGAACACATGCATTTCTGCCTCTGGAATGCTAGGTTTAAAGGCGTGTGCTACCACTGCCTATCCTCTATGTTTAATATTGTGGCTGTTCTGTCTCTGACCCAAGATAAGTTTATTAGGGTACACAATATTTGGGAAACACAATACCACCACACAGACAGCCTTGAGATTTACACAGACAATTGAAGTGAAGAGGCCTAGAAAGTTTTCTTGCCTCTGACCCCTCTTCACTCCATTTTAACTCCATAATACATACATAATTTAATGTTATATTTTTCCTGTATTCATTTACCTTAGCTCTCAGTGAAGTTTGTCAGGAGAGTTAAGAACCAACTTCTTTACACAATTGTCAAAATTAACAAAAAATTGTTAATTATGGTTCACTTTATATTAATTTATCTGACAGTGAATCCTTGATTGGCCATAAAATATAGTTTGGAATATATTTAATCTGTTCTTTAAATTTCATGATTATCAAGCTATATAGATGTACACATATCGGATTTTCTTTAAATGACTACTATCCTGTTCACTGTGCTTCATCTACAGAATTTTTCAAAATGAAATATTGATAATTTCATTTATGATTCCAATTATTCTTGTCAAGCCTATTCTTTTTCTATCTCCTACCAAATCTGCTACTCATCCCTCACCCCACTTGCACTTCATTTCCACATATAACTATACCTTGCACACTGAGTTCATTGTGGTTAGATGATATATTCATGGATATAGAACCATCCACTGGAGGGAGCATATTAGTTTATTAGAGACAACACTCTTAGAGAGAATCTCTCTCACACCCTTAGAAGCCATCAACTTTCAATAATAGCTTCTCAGCTAATGGTGAAGTCTGATCAGCTCCTCCTCCTCCATGCTTCAGTGCTGATTGACTTAATCTTGTACAGTTCCTATCCAGACAGCCACAACTGTTGTGACTGCATCAAAGAAGGAGTACTGAGATGTCCATAGACTCTGTTTTATTCCGTTTTTCCCTAAGCTTTGAATCTTACAATGTTTCTACCTCTTTTATATGATGGTCCCTGAACCTTAGACAACTTTTTGACTTTGATACCTTTTGTGTTCCATAGAAACCTTATTTGAATTTTCAATCTACTTTTTAAAAATTTAAGTCTGTTGTTAATATCAGCTCCCTCAAAGAGGAGACAGGAAAAGGGTATAGCTTAGGGCTCTAAACAAAACACAGGGTCTCAGTCTCAATTCTGTGCTCCTTGATGTTCTTCATCACTGAGAAGAACAGGAAAAAATGATTCCCTGAGTTTCCTTCTCATAGAAGGTGACAGAGAGATCTCAGGGCTTTTCTTCCTATGACCCATGTACCTGAGAGATCTGTTTTTCAGGAAAATTGATGCTTAACACACACACTTTCTTTGAAAACCATCTTGTGAATATACCTGTATAGCTTTTTAAATTTCTGTATTTATATTGGCTTTTTCATTTTTACTGAATTCTTAACCAACAAAGTGCTATAATATAGTTTCAAGCTATGATGATTATTCACATTTGGGACAGAATCACGATCAACTGCCAAACTAATTTCATGAGAAACCAGTTTTCCTGTTAAAAAGAGATCTCAAGCCAATTCCCTAAAGTCCTGGAATACATTTCAATCATGACTTCAGAGATAAGGTAGTGAGAGTTTACCCAAATGATGGAGTAAATCCTGTTATATAATATTTTATTTGTGTTCTGACAAATAAAGCTTGGCTGGAGATGAGAGGCCCAGTGACTTCCAGTTACAAAAAGAGACCATGTAGTGGTGGCACACACTTATATTCCAGCACTTGGGAATAAGCAGAAAGATCAGGAGTACACGGCCACCCTGGGCTACCCGGGATTGAACCAGTGTAAAAGAGAAATAGAGACAGGTGGTATTGGTGCATGCCTTTAATCACAGCATGAAGGAGGACAGACAGGAATATAAGACAGGTGGAGACTGGATCTCAGGCCCATTCAGTCTGAGGGTTCATAGAGGTAAGAAGTTTATGACAGTTGCTTTGCTTCTCTGGTCTTTCAGCTTTTACACTAATATTTTATTTCAGGATTTTATTTAATAAGACTAATTAAGATCATATCTCAACCCCAGCTCTCATCCTGCCCCAGACTTCCCTTCTGACACAGAGGTGAGTATCTGGGCCCAAACCATACCCCATCCCTGGGCAACAGCCACTCCAGAAAGACCTGCCCAACTTAGCCCCAGGTTCTGGCCACCACTGGGAAGGATCCCCTTCTCCAAGCCCCTGGCAGCCCCTGCAATCTCCACATCTTGCTCCCACACCCATCTGCCCGAGACCCCAGCCACTTCCTGAGACTTAGAGACTGGCCCCTAGCTTCCATCCTGCCCCAGACTTCCCTTCTGGACCAGAGGTGAGTATACAGGCCCAGCCCAGACCACATCACTGGGCACGAGCCACTCCAGGAAGACCTGCCCAACTTGGCCCCTGGTTCTAGCCACAAGGCAGGTCCCCTTCTAGCTCCACCGGGAAGGATCCCCTTCTCCAAGCCCCCGCTCCCCTGCCATCCCTGCAATCTCCACACCCGGCCCCCATGGCAATCTGCCCAAGAAACCCTAGCCACTTCCTGGGACTTAGAGACTGGCCCCCAGCTCCCATCCTGCCCTGGACTTCCCTTCTGGACCATAGAGGGCTCCCATCTTTCCCTGGACTTCTCTTCTGGACAAGAGCTCACATCCTGACCTGGACTTCCCTTCTGAACAAGAGCACACAGCCTACCCCGAACTTCCTGTCTGGACAAAAGCTCTCATCCTGCCCCAGATTTCCCGTCCAGATAAGAGCTTCCATCCTGCCCCAGAGTTCCCATTTGGACAAGAGAGCTCCCATCTGGAAAAGAGAGAGAGACTTCCTGAATCGGTCAGCTCTGTCTGAACCAAGTGCACTGATAAGACCAAGAAGAAACCACAAGGAGATGGGCAGACATCAAAGCAGAAGTACATACAACAAAATGAAGAGCAATACACCATCACCAGACTCTAGCCCACCTCCAACATCTAGAACTGAACATGAAAAATTGGAAGAAGCAGAAGAAAACAGCCTAATGGATAACATCATGAAGAAGTTAGAGGCTTGTGTAGAGGAAAAGACAAAAAAAAATGAGAAGAATGCTGTAAACAACTAGAGGAAAGGCCAAACAAATTAGAAGAAAACAATAAAGTCCTAGAAGAAAACAATAAAGTCCTGGAAGAAAACAATAAAGTCATGGAAGAAAAAAATAAAGTACTGAAAGAAAATAATGAAAAAGCAAAGAAACAAATAAAGGAAACAGACCAAGACCTGAAAAGGGAAATAGAAAAAAATGAAGAAGACACAAACAGAGGGAATGCTGGAAATAGGAAATCTGCGTAAAAGATTGGGAACTTCAGATGCAAGTATAACCAACAGAATACAAGAGATGGAAGAGAGGATCTCTGGCATAGAGGATACAGTAGAAGAAATAGTTTCATCAATCATAAAGCCAACAAAGTCATGAACCAAAATGTCCAAGAAATTTGTGACACCATGAAAAGACCAAACCTACGAATTATAGGGATAGAAGAAGGTGAAGAATACCAACTCAAAGGCACAGAAAATATATTCAACAAAATCATAGAAGAAAACTTTCCCAACTTAAAGAAGGAAATGCCTATGAAGATACAAGAAGCCTATAGAACACCAAACAGACTAGACCCCCAAAAAAGTCCCCTCGACACATAATAATTAAACAGCTAAATGTACAGAATAAAGAAAGAATATTAAGAGCAGCAAAGGAAAAAGGCCAAGTGACTTATAAAGGCAAACCCATCATAATAACACCCGATTTCTCAATGGAGACTTTGAAAGCCAGAAGAACCTGGACAGATGTAAAGCAGACAATAAGAGACCATGGATGTCAGCCCAGACTAATATACACAGCAAAACTTTGAATTATCATAGACGGAATGAACAAGACATTCCAAGACAAAGACAGATTTAAACAACACCTATCCATAAACCCAGCTCTACAGAAAACACTAGAAGGAAAATTCCAATCGAAGGAAGTCAGATACACACTGGACAACACAGGCAATAGATAAAGCCACAGAAGTAAACCCCAAAGAAGAGAAATACATACACACTACCACCAAAAATAACAGGGATGAACAATCACTGGTCAATAATATCCCTTAAGATCAAAGGACTTAATTCACCTATAAAAAGACATAGGCTTAAAGAATGGATACGAAAGCAGGACCCATCTTTCTGCTGTATACAAGAAACACATCTCAAATTCAAAGATAGACACTACCTAAGAAAAAAAGGCTGGGAAAAGACTTTCCAATCAAATGGTCTTAAGAAACAATCGGGTGTAGCCATCCTGATATCTAAAAAAATAGACTTCACACTAAAATCAATCAAAACAGATCAAGAAGGGCATTACATACTCATCACAGGAAAGATCCACCAAGATGAAGTTTCAATTCTGAACATTTATGCCCCAAACACAAGGGCACCCACATATGTAAAAGAAACATTACTAAAGCTTAAACCCCATATAAAACCCCACACATTAATAGTGGGAGATCTCAACACCTCACTTT